GAAACTGTCAGAAAAGTTTAATAGTAATGTATAACAGATGTCTTACAATTTTCACATGCATGTTTTTTTTTAAATACCTGCTGTGCAATTATATTACTATTTGGATGTTAAGTCTCTCTCCAGCGAAGACGTTGACCTTTTATGCATTTTGTTTTTCACCTTCTTTTTAAGCCACAGAGCGGGCTAGATTTTTTGTTTGTTTGGTTAATCTATTCCCACCATTATTCATTTCACAGGGACCTTAAAAAGCTATTTCTGCCCTTTCGGGCTATTCTTAACCACCACTATCTACCTGCTTTCCATGCTGCAAGTTCAGTGACAAGAGCCATTTTTGATCAATGCGCCTGCAGAAAGCATTTCAGCCACAACACTGCTGGGCGTCCTGGACGCCACCCCACACACCAACACAAGATGATGCTCCAACACACAAAAAGGGGGAAGTTTTGCATTCCTTCCCCCACTCCCTCTTCCACTAAGCAAAGGCGGCTCTAACCAAGCCAGCTTTCTCATCACTTTCCCCATTTATCTCTGGTTTCTTTTCTTTTTTTAAATTATTTTATTTTACAATCCTCTTCCTCTCCTCTGTTTCTCTCTTTCTCTCTCTTAACTGCATCCTCCGCTAGCAACCCCTGGGATGATGGCAGCAGGCAGACACCGGGAGTATTTTTTTTTTTTTTTTAAAGTTCTGCGTAGGCCCGAAGAAATGGAAATACTTGACCCTACATTTTGGAGAGCAAGGAGGAAGCAGCAGGAGGAGGAAGAAGAGATGAGGAAGAAGAAGCGGCCGGCAAAGTCTCCAAGCTGGCCGCCCGCTTGGCGCAGAGAGAGCAAAACTCCACCGAAAGGTGGTCGCGGTCCACGTGGAGGCAAACGCCGCCGGGGCTGGACGACGACGACGACGACGATGGGGGGAGCTTCTCCGCCGGTTCTTCCGCCGGGATGGGGAGCGCGTAGTCGTGGTCGCCGTTCTCTCCGAAGGCTCCGGCCGCCGTCGGTTGGAAGAGGCTGGTGCTGATCCTCATGCGGAGGCCCAGGCTGCCGGCCCCGTCTCCGGCCAGGCGTCCGAGCAGGCGGCCCAAAGCGCTCTGGTTCGCCAGCACGGCCCTCAAGTAGCCCGTCTCCCGCTCCAGGTCGCGCAGGCGGCGGCAGAGGCCCCGGTTGCGGTCGCGCAGCTGCCGGTTCTCGGCCGCCAAGCCTTGCAGGCGGTTCTCCAGGCCCTGCACGTAGAGCTTCTTCTTCTGACGGTTGAGACGAGCCGCCGCCGCCGCTTTCAGGCGGTTGCTGCCCGGACGCGTCGTCCTAGAAGAGCTTGAAGGCCGAGCCGCCTCGGCCGACGGACTCGCCCTGCCCCAGGCCGGAGGAGAAGCCTCGCCGCTCACCGCCGCCTCCAGCCAAGCGTCCAGCTCCAGCCCCGCGGGGAAGAGCAGCTCGCCCTCGTCCGGCTCCTCCAGGGAGTCTTCGGCCATCGCCGTCGCGGCTTCCGTCTCTTCCTCAGGCCGCCGCTCGGCTCCCGGGCTTGGAAACGAGCAGGCCGCGACCGGCTCTCCGGGTTTTACCTGGCCCGACGAGGCCGCTAAGAGCTGGGCCAGGCTGTGGCGCATAATAGCGGAGGCGGCGGGGCCCAGCCGTTGCCCCGGATCCTTCCAAGGCGGGCCCGGTTGCAATGAGGCCTCGCGGTCAGGCTGGCCTCAGCGCCGCTCTCCCCGAAGAGGATGGGGGGGAAGGGGGAAAGAGATGCGGCGGCGGCCACCTTCGCCTCAGGCCTCGCCCGTTTTTTTTCTTTCACGCGGCGGCCTTCTCGCCCCCTCACACAGGGCACGCCTGCGCGCGCTCTGGCGCTCGCTCTAAGCATTCTGGGAGTAGAAGTCCGGGAAAGGGTGGGGGAGGCGTGGCTTCAAGCGGGCTGCTTGATTTAACGCAGAGCCTGTTTAGAGTGCTGCGTAAAATGGTGGGCTGAGGTTGTGGGTTTGGTCTGGAAAGTTTTGGAGTAGTAAGAGATTCGGGGAAAGGTGGCTTTCTAAAGTCGTCCCGAGCTTTGCAGCTCACATCGGTAACTCTGCCTGGTGCCAAACCCCGGTTGATCCGTTTTGTCCCGAAGGTGGTTTTTCAAAAGGCAACTGGACTTTCTTTGTTCTTCAGAAAATCTTTCTTTCTTTCTCTCTTTCTTTTTCTTTCCTTCTCTTTCTTTTTCTTTCCTTCTCTTTCTCTTTTCTTTCTTTTCTCCTCTCCTTTTCTTTCTCTCCTCTCTCTCTCTCTTCCTTTTTCTTTTTTCCTTTTTGTCTCCTTTCTCTTTCTCTTTCTTTCTCTTTCTTTTTCCCTTTTCGTCTCCTTTCTCTTTTTTTCCTTTCTCTTCTCTTTCTCTTTCTTCCTCTCTTTTTTCCTCTCTTTCTTTTTCCCTTTCCCCCTCCTTTCCCTCTCATTTCTTTCTTTTCTTCTCTCTTCTCTCTCTCCCTTTTTCTTTCTCTCTTTCTTTCTTTTTCCCTTTTTGTCTCCTTTTTCTTTTTCTCTTCTCTATCTTTCTCTTTCTCTCTCTCTCTCTTTCTTTTTCCCTTTCCCTCTACTTTCCCTCTCCTTTTTCTTTCTTTCTCTTCAGAAGTTACAGGTACTCCAACACTGAAGGCTTTTAAGAAGGGACCGAACAACCATTTGTCTCTAAAATGCTATAGCATCTTCTGCTTCCGCAGGGGGTTGGAATAGAAGACCTCCAAAGTCCTTTCCAACTCTGTTATTCTGTGATTTCCTTGAAAACATTTCACTTCTCATTCGAGAAGCTTCATCAGAGCTGAAGAAGCTTTTTGGGTGAGAAGTGAAACATCTTCAAGGAAAAACAAAGTCCAGTTGCCTTTTGAAAAAAAAAAAAAAACACGCCATGCTCGTTCTGGAGCAGGGGTCTCCAAGCTTGGCAACTTTAAAACTTGTGGACTTCAACTCCCAGAATTCTTCAGCCAGCAAAGTTGACTAAGGAATTATGGAAGTTGAAGTCCACAAGTCTTAAAAGTTGCCAAGGTTGGAGACCCCTGTTCTAGAGAACTGAGGATCTCCATAGATGTTTGGATACTGTTCGTTGAACCAGCCACAATGGTTGGATTAAGGCAACAGGCCAAAGTTAAACCATAAAGCATGAATAATAATGTCTAGAATCTTATGTTGCCCCGGCATGGCTGTTTCCACAATTAATGTTTGATTTTATCATTATATTATGGTTTTCATGTTGCTTTTATTTTTGATTGGAACCAACTCCAAGTTGGTTATAAGATGGGCAGCTTGGAGAAGATTTGTAAGGTTGGAATGAAAGGTCCTTGATGCTGACTGAACTTGGTGGGTTTTCTTGCAGATGTTTCATTACTCAAGACTGGGAAACATCATCACCTAGTGCAGTGGTTGCCAACCAGTGGCCAGGGACCACTGGTGGTCCGCGAGAAAATTTTGGTGGTCCTCAGAGAAATATCACCCCCAAAGCATTCCCCGAAGCAATTAATTCAGGTTGTGTGGGAACACAAGGCTTGCGTCGCTTGCATTGTGAATAACATTAGGTAGTGAGGGAAGGGGTGAAAGGGCAGAGGGGGGGAACTTGCCCCACTCGCCCCATGTGCCTCGCCTGGCCACTGGGTGCTTCTTTCCGCTTCTTTCTTCTGCTTTTGGCTGCACACAAGGAAAGCAGCAAAAGTCTTTCTCTCCCCCAAACTCAGTCAGAAATGAGTCTTTGGGACCCTGCAAGGCATCCTGCTCCAAGAGGCTGCACCGGCAAAGACTCATTTCTGGTCGAGTTTGGGGGAGAGAAAGAAAAACTGCTTCTGCTGCTTTCCTTGCATGAAGCCAAAAGTGTGTGTGTGTGTGTGTCTCTCTCTCTCTCTCTCCCTCTCCCTCCCTCCCTCCCTCTCCCGGAGACATTATCTTCCGATCCCAAATAAAGAATGATTGATCGGTAGAAAAATGGGGTGAGGAATTTTCCTGCAGACTTTTTGGGGGATTTTCCCAGAGTCTCTGGTCCACGGGATTTAAAATTATGAGTTTGGTGGTCCCTGAGGTCCAAAACGTTGGAGACCCCTGACCTAGTGAACACTGATGATGTTCTCTATTTTGGGTAATGAAACATCTGCAACAAACCAGCCATAAAATTAGCTACCGGTTTATGCGAACTGGTAGCATTCCCCCCTCCTGAACAGTATCTACTCCTTGGTAGGTTTTCCTAACATCCACCCAAAATCTATCTTCTCAACCTCAATTGATCTAGAATTAGGATTACAAGTAGTCCTCAATTTATGATCCTAAAAAGTGTTAATAAGCAAGGTGATTGTTCAATGAGTCATATCTGACTTTACGGCCTTCATTACCATGATTGTTAGCAAATCATTGCCCTTGTTAATCAAATCCCATGGTCCTTAAACAAATCTGGCTTCCCCCATGGAAATGGCTTGCCGGAGGCCAGCCAAGAAGGTCGCTTGTAAAGAATATATAGAATTCTTTATTGGCCAAGTGTGATTGGACGCACAAGTCACATGACCCCAGGACCAGCCACATGCTGGTTGCCAAGTGCCCAAATTCTGATCATGTGACCATGGGGATGCTGCCACAGCCCTAAGTGCGAAGACCTGTTGTATCTTCAATCCGTCACTAAACGAATGGTTAAAAGTCGAGAACCACCTGCCGCAGCATCTTAAAATGCATTTAATGTCACCCAAGCGACTCCCAGACAAACATAAACATGTTAGACGTGGCACAAGGCTTAAATGCAAAATCTCTGCACTTTAGACTGGAAAGTATTATTACCGTGACACATTTATTTGAAAGTTATTCTAAATATTCAACATCTCTCTGGGATGAGTGGTCAATATTCCAATTGCAACAACCTATGAGTAATCCATCTATTTAACTCTAAATAAAAGATGTTATAGTTAGCAACTACAATAGCAGGGAAACAAGCATCCCCCATATCTGTTAAAAGGCGAATCTTTCTTAAAAGAAGGCTTCAGATGGACAGGAATACTTAAATGTGCCCGTTACGCCATAAAATGGCGTAATTTGGTATTTAACTCTTTCTCTTTGTTCAGCAGTTCGGTGCTGTGTTTTCGGTAAGCTTCGAAATGCATCCGGAGCTCGGAGTAGGCTTGTTCTGCCCCCTCAAGACGCCGCTTTAAATCTCTAACTCGGAGGTTACTATCCACCATTGCAGCTTCTGTCTCAAACTGCAGCTCGGCGGCCTGCTTGGCCTTCTCCATATCCTCCCCCTTCTTCTCCAGCTGAAGGATTTCCCGTTGCTTTTCCTGAAGCACCTTGCCTCTCTCCATCGCCAGCTTCAACAAGTCCTCTTTCTCCTTTGTGAGGACATCTAGCTTAACTTGCAGGCTGCTCTCCGTTTCTCTTAGCTGCCTCTCTGTGTGTTCCAGTTGGTCAAGGATCGGTTTTTGCTTCTTCTGCAGGACGTCCAGTTGCCTTTTCAAGGAGTCCATCTCCTTGGTGTAGATTCTGGTTTGTTCCCTCTGGCCTTCCAGAAGTTCTTTCTCTCGTTCTTCGGCTGAACGACAGCGCTGTTGATAAGTCTTCTTCAAGGCCTCCATATCTGTGGAAACTTTCTTGAATTCAGAAGAAAGCCGGGCCAGTTCTACTTCTTTATCTTTCAAAGGTTGGCTGAAGAGGCTTTCGTTTTCTTGACGCAGGCGGCTGTTTTCTTCCCAGAGCTGCTTATTTTGCCGTTTGTGCTCGTCTTTGAAGCGGATCATTTCTTCGTGGTTGGCAGCCAAGTCCATAAAACGCTGCTCCAGGTGCTGGATGCGCCGTGTCTGATTCTCCAGCCGCAAAGAGTCCTCTGCTCTCGCCTGCTCCAGCTCGGCATTGATCTGTTCCAGCGTCTTACAGCGCAAGAGTTGATCGTCAGCTCTCTTCTTGAGGATACAGATCAGCTGAGACTGTTCGTTGAGGCGCGAACGTAACAGGGCCTTCTCGCCCTTCTCCTCATCAGAAAGACCATGGAGCTTCTCCAACTGGTCGAAAGGATCCCCCATGCTCCATTCTAGTTCTCCTTCCATATCTTTGGATATTTGGGGGTTCTTCCCGTCCTGAGGCATATCAAGAAAACAATTTTTTTTTCCTTGCTGTTCTCAGCACACATTGCCCAGTGGCTTTCCTCAGGTGAACATTCAAAAATTCTGCTCTTCAGAAGTTCAATGGATCCAAATGACAGTTGGTGGAAAAATTCCAAGAATTCTGTGACATCACAAGCTTAGAAGGCCCCGGTTGTCCAGAACTGACATAGTTTTCTGCTATCTCTTGATCTTATTTGCACTGTCACCTCCATTTGTGCTCAATAGAGAAACGAGGTAAGTCTTCAATCTACTCAGGAACAAAGAGACAGCCGGAAATCAAGCCATATCTAGTAGATTTTAAGTTGAGTCAGTTCTTGGTATCACTCAATTCGCAATAACACCCTAAGAATAGCCAAGTGTTCATTTTTCAGCTGGCGCCTTCACAAATCCTGAAGAGAAACACGAATCATATTTTTCAAGAGATGCTTTTGCGGCCTTCTTAAATCTGTTTATTTAAAGAGACAAGAGAAAGCAGAAGGTGACTGTGCTTCCTCGATTCCTCTTAATTCAAAAGCTGCATTGCCTCCATTTCAAGGTGTCCAAGTACTCTGGGTTTTCTATGGAATACAGGTAGTCCTCGACTTACAACAGTTCTTTTAGTGACCATTCAAAGTTACAACGGCCCTGAAAAAAGTGACTTATGACCATTTCAGCATCCCCATGGTTAAGCATCCCCATGATCAAAATCCAAATGGTTGGCAACTGACTCATATTTATGACAGGTGCAATGTGCCAGGGTTGCGCGATCCTCTTTTGCGACCTTTTGACAAGCAGAGTCAATGGGGAATCCAGATGCATTTAACAACCGTGTTACTAATTTAACAATTGTAGTGATTCACTTAACGTGGCTGAAAGATCGTAAAATTCACTTCACAACGGTCTCAGCCAAGATAAATTTTGCACTCAATTATGGTCGTAAGTAGAGGACTACCTGTATATACATAAAGTTCTTAAAGGATTACCAACTTTCACAAATATCTATTCAAAAACACCCCACTCTACTTATTAGGATTTTTCTCTACTTCGTGAGTGCCGAGTAACTCTGGGAATAGGGGAAATTATTGTCGCTTTCTTTCTACATCTAGCTTGGGGTTTTCTATCCAAACTCTAATCAAATCCGACTCTGTATAGTTTTCAAACTATAAAGATGCCACCCGCTGAAGCTCTACTCAGGAAGAGGATTAAGGACTAAAGGGGTGGGAAAAAACCTTCAAGGAGACAATATATTGTGTAATTTGGATTTTTTTAAAAAATAAGGGGAAGGTAAGCTCCAGATAAATTTCACCATGCAACTTCCTCTCCTAGCAAATATTTAACTTTTTTTTTAACCAAGTCTAATGTGTAGTAGACTCCCTTATTCAACAATCAGAGATTCCATTCAATCAATATATATTATAATGGGGGAGGGAGCTAAGTTTTTGTCCTTTGTCACATTTATTCTTTAATCCTAGCTTAGTTAAAAAGGTATTTCTAGGTAAAACAGTGTGTGTGTTAAAAACCAAAAATGGGTACTATAGATAATATAGTACTCTTTCCTAGAATCAGTATAATAGAGAATTATGGTAGGAAACACACCATCATGTTATCTAGACCAGGGGTCTCCAACCTTGGCAACTTTAAGACTTGTGGACTTCAACTCCCAGAATTCTGGGAGTTGAAGTCCACAAGTCTTAAAGTTGCCAAGGTTGGAGATCCCTGAACTAGACTACCTATTTACAATGAAAGAAAGCATCTGGTTTAATTAGAGTAGATGAAGCTTACGAAAGGAAGCACAGGGGGGGGAAAACCATAAAAGTCCTTCACGCTCACAAAGAATATAGAACTCAGGATAATAGGACTGGAATGGACCTTGGAGGTCTTCTAGTCCTATTATACCATTTCAGACAAGTGACTGTCCAACCTCTTCTTAAAAACTTCCAGTGATGGAACACCCAACAACTTCTGGAGATAAGTCGTTCCACTGATAAACTGTTGTCACTGACAGGAAATTTCTCCTTAATCTGAAATTTCGAATTAAATTTGAAGAACATTGAATACTCTCATAAAATTAAACAACAAGACCTGGACATGAGACTAATAAACATTAACGCAAACTCATCTGATTGTATACGCGTCTCCATTTTTGCCACCGTCGTCCGAGCTACAGGTCCTGGATTTGGTCATTCTTACACATTTCCGTTCCATTTGAAGAATCATTCGAAAGAAAGTTTACCTTCCATCAGTAAACTCACTCCTTACCAGGTTTTTAATTCTCTGACTCTCTTGGACTGACACTCCTCCCGCGTTTGCATCTCCCTGGAAACCGAGACTGCAACACACGTCTAGCTTTTTCCTTTTAGAGCCTGAGGCTTTGTCTTGCTTTCAGAAGAAACCCTCCAAAGGGGTGTGTGAAAGTTTTGATTTTCCCTACATGCAGCAGACATTTGTTTCCTTTCTGGAGAAGCTTCAAAACATGTTTTATCTCTACCGCACCAGAGGGTGACTCTTGAAGACTACTGCTGACCCGACAATTAATTAAGAAAGTAATGAAACACTGAAACATAAAGCTGGCAAAAAAAGATAACCTTTTTGGTAACTGTGGATACAGATGCCTTACAATTTAAATGGGCGCCCCTGTCCATATCTATTTAAAAGCCAGCCCTGCTACGATCAATGGAACTTATTGAGGATCAAATATTAAGAGTGCAATCTTTAAGGCCTTGCGCGGAATTGAATTCTACTGAATTCTGTGGAATAAACTGCAAGGCAATAAATTGCAAGTTTGCAAGATCTTCTGAAACGCTGAGATTGCAACTGATTCAGAATGACAGAGTTGGAAGGGACCTTGGAGGTCTTCTAGTCCAGCCCCCTGCTCCAGCAGGAAACCTTGTATCATTTCAAACAAATGCTTGTCCAATCTCTTCTTAAAAACCTCCAGTGTTGGAGCATTCACAACTTCTGGAGGCAAGTTGTTCCACTGATTAATTGTTCTGACTGTCAGGAAATGTCTCCTTAGCTCTAGGTAGCTTCTCTCCTTGATTAGTTTCCATCCGTTGATTCTTGTTCTACCTTCAGGTGCTTTGGAGAATAGCTTGACTCCTTTACCAACTTATAAATCTTCAACCGATAATCATTTAGCTCTGGGGTCTTCAAACTTGACAGCTTTTGAGACTTGTGGACTTCAACTCCCAGAATTCCTCCTCCAGTCATGTTAGTTCAGGAATTCTGGGAGTTTGAAGTCCACAAGTCTTAAACTTGCCAAGTTTGAAGACCCTTAATTTAGCTTATTTAGTGAAATCCTTTTATTCATTTTCATGGTCAATTTAAAAGACCACACAGGACAACTGCGCATTAATTAAATACATTTCATGTTTTAATACATACAGTGTTTATTAAAGATTAAAAGAGTTTAATTTAAAACTCAGTACCAGGTGATAAGTAGACACATGTTTTATGGTGGTAGCATCCAGCAAAAAGCAAGGTCAAGTTATATACAGCATAAAGATGCCCCCTGCTGAAATTTAACTGATGGAAGAGTTGATCAGCCTAGACATTCTTCTCTGTATCATTCTGGCTCTTCTCTCCAGCAAACTCCAGCAAATCATATCAACTGGAAGCAATTTATAAGGGTGTTATTTTTATTTCGTCATTTTTGCTACCATCAGCATCCGGAGTGGCAGTGTGTCTTCTACCCAAGTGTTGGGAGAGTTGATCATTCTTTCCCATAAGGTGGCTTCATCTAAAGTAGAGTCCATCCAATCCACTACAGTGCCATAGCTTTTGCCTAATAAAAGTGTTTAAATAAACAAGATTAGCAGCAGATATTGATTAGTTATCTGCATGGTAATACAGGTTATCTTCAACTTACAACCATTTGTTGTAAGTTTAAAGTTACAACAGCACTGAAAAAAGTGACTTATAACCATTTTTCCACACTTCCACAGAGAGAGGGAGAGGGGGGAGGGAGAGAGGGGGAAGAAAGAAAAAGAAAGAAAGAAAGAAAGAAGAAAGAAAGAAAGAAAGAAAGAAAGAAAGAAAGAAAGAAAGAAAGAAAGAAAGAGAAAGAAAGATACAGAGAAGAAGGAAGGAAGGAAAGAGAAAGGTACAGAGAGCAAGAAGAAGGAAGGAAGGAAGGAAGGAAGGAAGGAAGGAAGGAAGGAAGGAA